CTGACTTGTATTCCTGTCCTGTGCTCACAATGAAGACGCACACAGCCGATGTCTCTTTTCCTCCACAGCTCTGCCCCGGGCAGCTCCCTGCATGCGGGGTCCAATTCGGGACGAGAACAGTGGTCTCAGGATCTCCCCTTGTTGTAGGGGAGGGAGGCTGGCCCAGACCCCAAATTTGGTGGAGGGTCACCACCCCAGGATCTGACCTATACTGGGGGTGACATCCTAGAGCTGCTGCAAAGCCCGGCTGCCGCACCCCCATCCTGATGCTTCTGTTCCACTTGTGATGACCAGCGCGGTCGGGTCTGTTGATGGAATGCATTCAGGATGGATGCACGTCGGGGATGCCAGCCTCACAGTAAGAAAACTGTCAGCCTCCGCCTCAGGTATGCGAGTATGGAGTTGACCCCGGGGTGCGCATTTTTTGGTGAATGTGTTCCCTGACCCACTAACCCAGAGAATCTGTTCCACCCTCAGAATGAGCAGGAAAAGCCCCCGAATTGAAGCAGGCTTTGGAGATGGGATGGCCATGTTGTTGTCGGCGTTCGGTGCTCGAGGTGGGGCCACCGGGGCGCTCTTTGGCAGATGTCGCATCGTGGAACTCATGCTGGTATCGTGGAAGAATGTGTCGAGGTGTCCCACCTGCAGGGAGGGGATCTGCGTCAGCCCCATCACACCGTCCGTGGGTGGAGAGTCAGCATGTGGGGGTCCACGGGCCCCCAGGACACAGCCTGTCCTTACGGGACTTCCGGGGGCCAGCCCAGCTCCATCCCACCTGTCATGAAGACAGAGTTTTGGTCTGGGGAGTACTGTATTCGTGGCCTAGATTATGTGGTCCTTCAGCTCTCAGTATCCCATCCTGCCCATGAGGCCCTCCCGGGAAAGGTTCTTGTTAGCAGTGCCAATCCAAGGTCTAGGCAGAGCTGATTTGACCCTCAGCATTCAGCCCAGCTACAGGAGGAGGCAGGGGGTGGGCACGGTGGGCTCCTACTCTGCCTCACCTGGGCGGGTCACTCCTCAGTGCTTTTTCTATTATAAACACAATACGGCATTTCGTCCTTCCTGGATATAATTCCAACTTCACGGAGGAATGACCTCCCCCAGTACTTGAAAGAATGACCCATCGTAGAGCCCGTGCCTTAATTAGGATTAAGCCACATAGCTCCCTTCCGTGTATCCCACTGAGACCTTGGATGCTCAGCCCCTGGGGCTGAGTGGTGTTGCGGTTGACTGTTGGGGTTTCACCTTGTTTGTGGTTAATCACATTGGAGCTGCTGTTTTTCAGGACAAACTCCCACCTGGAAATGTGCCCTGACAGGACTCCAACGTGAGGGCAGGGCGTTGTCCATGATAGGGGAATGGATGGTTGATCAGAGAACATACATTTTATCAATGATGTATGTCAACTGATCCACAGTCCCTACCTATCCAGTGACTTCTCGGGACAGACTCCGGGAGAAGAGCTGGTGGTTTCCTTACCAGTGCTAGTACCTGGCCCTTGAAAAGACCTTCTCTTTGCTGGGTTGGCTCTCTTTATGCTGAGTCATACGAGGGAAAGTTTGTGTTTTTAAGTATCAATCTTGCCTGGGAAGAGCTGTTGGTCCCAGCCCCTTCCTGGGGGACAGGAATGCATGGCTGGCCAGAGAGCATGGGCTTTATTTACAACATGCAGCACCCAATTCTCCTAACCCTCAGTCCCCAATTCGTCCTTAGGAGGACTAGCTGGAGGCCAGGCCGACTCTGGTGAAGACACGGTTCAGCCGCGTTAGCCTTCGGTACTTGAAGAGTGGTTATCCCTGCTGTGTTCGCTGTATTTATGACGAATCATACAGGGACATCCAGTTTTTCAGTATCAAATACTGCTTTGGAGGGCCTCCCAGACAGCATTCCGCCTGCAGGGAGGAGGTCTTGGCTTCCATACCCACCCAAGGTATGTACATGGACGGTGGAGCATGGCGCACATGCTTCTTTCATGATGCCTGTCACTTGTCGCACCCATGACCAGAAGCCACTCTGTGCAGACAGTGGCTGCCTAGGAGGGCTGGACTGTGATCTTCTGGAAGGGGTGTTGGTATCTGCACCACCCATCATGGCAGGTTGACCAGTGAGAATCCCACTCACGCCCAGCACCTGCTGCCTATTCCAGGAGAACCCAGTCCTCGCCATGAGATGAATCCCTGGAGACCACGCCAGTGTGAGGACGTGGCAGTGATGCTGGCTGATACCTAATTGGTCATCTTTATTGCATTTGCTCCAGGGTAGACTCTTTCTGAGTGTCAAATCTTGCCCAGAAAAGCTTTCTGGAATCTGTGTCAACTTTGGGGGAGACATGTTCGCCTCATGTCTTTCCGGTGTACATGGAGAGAGAGTTGAGCAGAGTCCGCTCTTGGTTTTTGATGGTCTCACTTGCTTCCCTCTCCCGCAAGACCCAGCCCATTTTTATGATTGCCTTGGGGAGGGGTAATCTGCTTTGGCTGTGATGCTTTCTCAGTAGGGCTTTCTCTTTTCATGATCAGATTCTCTTGCTACTGGCATGACCACATGGTCCACGGATTGATCAACCAAAGAGGAATGATTCTATCATTCCACAAACGATTGTGTGCATACTGTATTCTAGAGGATTCTAGAACTTAGCTACTTCCTCTGAACTGGGGGTAGAGTACAAGAGAAAGTCCTTGCTCATTATAGCCTGGTGAGAGAGATGGACAATAAGAAGCCAACTGTGAGATATAATTTTGTCCACTGTTGAGTGTTATGGAGAGAAAGAAAGTAGGGTAAGGTCTTAGAGAGAAGCAGAAATGGGATGGGTGGTTATGTTCACTACAGGGGTCTGGGAAGTTCTTTCTGGGGAGGGGCAATGGAAACTAAGTGGAGGGTGGGTCAGGTGGCAATCTGGGATCAGAGCATTTCAGAAGGAGGGCAGGTTACGTGGAAAGCCCTCTGGCATCTTTGAGAGAAAGGAAGAAGGCCAGTGGGGCTGGGCTGAGCTATGGAGGAGTGGCCAGAGCTGAGGTGGGGCAGGTGTGGATGTTATTCTGAGTGAGGTGGAGGCTGTGGGAGGGTTCCAGGCAGGGAGAGATGCAGGATCTGTGTTGAAAGGATTACTCTGACCATGAGAAGATGGCACCTGGTCCTACTGGTCCAGGGTTGTTTGGGGGAAGGTGGGTGAGCGACTTTTGATAGCATCCTTCTGGAATTGCTTTCTTGGGTGGTTCTCTGGGGTGATGGGTAGTGGAGCCGGGTGGGTAGAGAGCGGGTGGCAAGGGAGTGGGGGTCTCCTGGGACAGTGAAGAGCTTGATGAGCCTCCCTCAGATCCTCCTGAGGGTGCCTCGGGTCCCCGGGCTGGCCAGACTCTCCAGGAGCACCCTGCAGTGGCCATGGGAATCTCTCTGGAACTCCCCCAGTTTGGTGGACCCCACGAGTCGTGAAGGAGCTTGGCTAGTGCCTCCATGTGCTTGATGGATAATCGAGTGTGCTCTGTTGAGAAGTCCAAGGCCTCCGTTCAGAAACCCTTGGGTCCATGCACGTGTGGAGAGCCCTGACCTGTGGCGAGTTCGCACTTCGAAGCACAAGTTTCTTCTCGTTTCTAAACCCTGCCCCTGAGGACTCAGGAACACAAATTCAACTCCAGGGAGGGGGGGGCTGTGTCAGCACCCCTCCCAGGGAGGTGAGTGGACGGCCCCCCCAACCTCCAGCGTGTTCTCGGGACCCACGTCAACCGTGTCACTAACTCTCCGTGTCCAATCTGCCCGCAGGACGGCGGTTGGAGGCCACGACCCCCAGAGAAGAGGAAGGGGACCTCTTGTCTGTCTTGTCTCTGCCTTTCTGTGGTACTTGAAGAGAAGTTGTTCGTGGTGGATTCGCTTTACTTATGACGAATCATTCACGGACAACACTTTTTTCAGTACCAAATGCTACCTCTAAGGACTTCCTGGACACAAGGGCAACGTCCGGGAAGATGTGTTCGTGTTGTCAACCATGTGGAGAAGACAAGGATGGAGGGTTGGCCAGGGACACCGAGCTTGACCTAGCTGTAAGTCGTCTGGCCCACTAACCTGAGCGTCCGATCCGCCCGTAGGGGGCCTTTCCCTGGGCCATGCTAACTGGGGAAATGGCTGTTCTTCTGTCACCAGCGCCATCTTACAAGACCCGGAAGAGAGGTTTCCTGGGCCTAAGGCCAACTTCCAGAAGAGATGCTGGTGTGAGCATTGTCCAGGGTGTGTGACTGGTTGACCAGAGGGGCAAGCACTGTTCACCCTGTGGGCCACCTAGTCACCAACCCTCAGCACCCACCCCACCCACCCAGGAAGACTTCTCGGAGGTCCTGCCAACTTTGGGCACCGCGGCAACGGACTTGTGGCGGCAGCTGCTCGGCGGACCTGGACAGCCGTGGTCGGGAGGGTGTGTTCGCTTAAAACGCGGTCACTCATCCGCAGTAGCCCCCTCATCGCCTTCACTACACAGCCTTCCCGAAGCTCTCCGGGACGTGATGCTGCCTTCCGATGAGAGACCTGACGCGAGCCGGCCAGCTCCTCTCTAGGGTGCGTACCTGTTCACCGAGCACGCGTTTCATCCGGTGGGTGAGGCAGCTGGTCCCCTAACCTGCCGCATCCTGTCTCCGCACAGGAGGACCCCGCAGAGGCGAGGCCCGCCCTGGGGAGCAGCCCTGGTACTCCGCGCTGTCGGGGTGGGGGGGGCGCCACGATGTGCTGCTTCGTGATGGCCGTCGAATGGTGTCCCCTCTTGCAGGAGGACTCACGGGGCCCGCCCCGCCTTAGGGTAAGTGCGTCTCGGGTGAGCATGCAATTAAAGTGGTAGTATGTCACTCGGCCCACTACCCAATGTTGTCCCGCCCATCCCTTGCAGGGCTCCGGAGAGGGCAGCTGCCTGCGCGGGAGAGGCAATGGATTCTCGCCAGCGTTCACTTATGGTACTTGAAGAGAGGCTGGCCGTGATGAATTCGATTCATCAAAGCGAGTCATACACGGCTCTCCTCTCTTTTAGTGTCAAATTCTGCCTCGGAAGGCGTCCTGAGCCAGTGCCGTTTCCCAGGTAAGGTGCCTGGACGGCTGAGCCCCGTGCTTTCCTGGGGACGCATGCTGCTGACGCACTAACCCCAGAGGCCGGGCCGACCCGAGGGCCACTTCCTGGGGCACCACCGCCTTCAGGATAAGCTAGAGAGGCTGTTGGGAAGCCCTAACTTTTAAAAAAACTAACACTGAAATACACCTGGCGAGCTCCTTTCACTAGCAGACCCAATGTCGGAGGGGCATGGAGAAGCATTTTTATGAGTCAGTTCTTGGGATTTAGGAGAAACCAGGAAACGGCCCCTGTGATCCCTGGTTTACTAACCTGCAGCAGCCTCGCAGCCTCCAGGGAACTCCCCTAGGGTGATTCCAGCCTTATCAAGGAGGCAGTGGCTAATCTGTCTTTGCAGACGTGTGGTCTTTCCAGAGCTCTTTGCTTCATTGACAATGACCCACACGTGGCTGACTTTGCACTGCTGAGTGTTGCTTGCATGGGCAGCCGAGTGCAGGAAGTGGTATATTCCTGTGCAACTGATCCCGGGTTAGTGAACCAGGAGTTGGCCGGAATGCACGGGTTTGACTTGGGGATGGAGCCACTTGGTCCCCTCATCCTCAGTGTCCCGTCCACCCCTCAGAGGCCACTCCCATCCCAGCTGCCCAGACCTCGTGGATGCAGGGACGCTGCGAGCAGCGCCACCTCATGGTGCTCGGAGGGAGGTTGTCCGTGGTGAGTTCGCATTATTTAATGATGCCCAATACACGGTCGATCTCTTTTCGGTACCACATCTCATCAGGCGTCTCCTTGGAGCTGATGCCAACCTCGGGGAAGCCACACTCCTGTGGGTCCCATGCCAATGTTCTTGAACCTGCAGCAGGCCCCTCGGGAATTAGTGGCTAGTTTGCCCCTAGTGCTCCTTATCCTTGTTCAGTCCGTTCATGGAGGACCTTGCCAATTTGGGGTGAGAAGCATGTGATCTAGGACCCTAAGTGACTGAGGGAGTAGGGGTGTTCAGGATGCTTCTGGATTGCTTTTTGTGTTCTAAAGAAAAGTAGGCAGCTGCCTTCTCTTTCAGTGCTAAATCTTGTCTTCGAGGGAGGATTCCTTAGATATACTGGCAAAGTCAGGAAGGGTATTGGTCTCAGCAGTTTTTCTGGGCTAAGCGAACGGGTGATTCACTACATCTACTGACCTGGAAAGTGTACGAAATTTGAGGACAGAGGGCAGTTCTGTTTTCAATTTCTTGTTTTTTCTTTCCAAAAAGAATATTTTACCATAATGTCGTATTTATGAAAATGACACATGCTCATAATAAAAATTCAAGCAATGTGGAAAAATGTAAATAAAGAGGGGAGAAAATTGCCCAATTCTCTGTGCACCCAGAAATAACCATCAGCACTGCAGAAATTTCAAATACCTGTCTGGGCAAATATGCAAATAGAAACGTCTATTTAGACAAAGAGAAAAATATTTTATAAATATGAGATCACACAGTACCTGATCTTTTTATTAAAAAGGTTAACTCTAATTTTACTCAAATTTAATATAAAAAGTAAGCCGAAGAAAATTGGAAGAATTGATAAAGGTCTCTTGCTCTACCACAAGAAGTATTCATTCCTAAAAGATCCCTCTAATATGAAGGAAAATTATTGTGTAAAATGTCAGCTGGTTTGGATCATCATGTTTTTAATTGTTTCAATTTCACTGCTAGTTGTGAAATATAAGGAAACCAGCATTCTTACATTTTGATCCACCTCCTGCTTTTTACAATGTAATTTTCCCATTATAGATTTTTGCATTTTGTTCTATAACCACGATTCTTGCAGGTGTTTAATCATAGTTTTATATTTAAATGGATTCATTACTGACCACCAGTTGTTTTGTTTTGTTTTTTCTTAAACTAAGCCTTCTCTATTCTGGCGTTTTTCATTTTAATTCATCTCTCAATGGAATGGATTTTATCATTGTTTCTTCAAGAATACTCATAGACACTATTGCTCAGTCCTTGCACATTTGAGAATCTCTGTCTCTTGCTTTTAGACATAAGGGACAACTTAGCTAGGTATAAAATTCTCAGCCTACTTTCTCTTTTTTTTTTCTTAGAGCTTTGTGGATACTGCTCCACTGTCTGCTACATTTAGTATTTCACTAGCTCTTTTGATGGGGCCTCTCTACATAACTCCTGCTTGGCTGGACTGTATTGTCTGGTGGATCTTCATATACTTTGTTAGAAAGACTTTGGGTGGACCATAGTCTGTGAGGTCTTTCATCTCTGAGAATGTCTGACCATTGCTCCTAATACCTTGTCTGCCTGTTTTTTCAGATGTTCTTGTGGCCCTGTGATTTGTAGCTCTTTTTAATCACCTTAGTCACTTTAAAGATACTTACTGTTACTTTCTTTCAACTTGAGGGGTACAAGTCCTTCTCTTTGTTGAGTCTGTTGACTCCTGATAGTGCTTTTCTTCATGGGTTTCTGTAGCTTTTTGTAGTGATACTATCATCAGTGGGAATTAAAGTGTTTCTGTTTTGTTCCCTTTGCAAAAGATTGTGACATTACGGCTCTGTGTTTGGTTCTGTCTGGAACCCCAAGGCTTTCACCAGTTGGACCAGTTTTCCCACTCAATTGTTGGCTTAAAGATTCTCACACCTGATGGCTGGTATAAGTCCTCACCACATCTTTGTCCTGGAGCTTTGTTGCTCACAGGAGAAGTCATTCCATCCACAGCCTAGACGGAAGCACACTCTCTTGTCATTTCTCTGGGCCCGCATAGTGTTCTAGCTCTCCTTTCTCTTCCAGATCTCCACACTTCTCGGGCCCAAGGTCACATCCCCTGTTCTGCTTGGACAGTATGACCACAGACTCTTTGAGTCTCCAGTGCAGGGTCCCTTAGGTCTCGTTGGTGGCAGGTTGCAAACTTGTCACTCTGAATTAAATTCTCTCTTCATTGGCAGCAGATCGTTTCCCTTCCTTTCATTCCTTTTAGCTCTGCATTTATTTACCAGTTGATTTTGGCTGTGGCTGTGTTTTATTCATCATTTCTCTGCCTTTGTGGAGGAGAGGGTTCTCTGTTAGCTCAGTACTAGGATCTGACTCAGTCACTAGTTTTCTTTATCAACTCTTCTGAATCATATTATGCCTTCTTGATTCATAGCTAGTCGTTCCTTTGTTTCAAAGATATTTTCCTCTATTATTTCTATGAGTACTTTTCTCTTCTATGTGTTGGCCTTTTCTTGGGTTTCTTGGAGGAGGAAAAAAAAAAAATCTCTGATCTGGCCCCACGCTGCCATCTTATCTGGAAGTCTCTGTTGTCATTTGCTCTTGTACTTGCCTATTTAAAATGAATCCTACCTGGATGCCCCCTTCACAGTATAATCTTCCACCTTGGCAGGATGCCTCGTTGCAGTTCCAGCTTCTGGGATGGACGTGGAGTCTGTACCATCTGCTAGGTATGTGAATTTACTTTTAACAATGGAGGATTTGGTTTTTGATCATATGTCTACTGGACTATTAACCCTAAGTGTGTAATTTATCCTCAGGGAGACTTCTTAGAAGTTAAGGCCACCTTTGGAGATGAGGCCATAATTCTGAGGTCAGTGTCACACCATGCATGATAACATCTGTATCCCACACTGTAGTTTTTTTTAACAATCAATATTGCGAAGTCAGCTTCCTTGGGATGAACTCCAGCTTTGGAGGGCTTCCTGGACACAAGGCTGTGTGAAGAAAGGATCCCTACTATCAGTTGTGATGCTGATGGGAAAGGGGGAAGTGTTCCTTGCTGTGATCAGAATAGTGACTTCTCTTGCACTTGACCTTTCCACATTCAAATCCCCCAGAAGTGCTTCTGAGATACCGTGCCAAGCACCGCGAAGGTGTTGACCTCTGGGCTACTTCAGGGTCTATGATGGGACGACTGAGCATGGCACGTGTACTTCCTGCATGGCTCTCATTCTGCTAACTCTCCGTGTTCGCTATGTCCTTAGGGGGACTTCCTGGGGAAGGCCAACTTTGGAGAAGAGGAATTGGCAACTGGTTGGCACGAATCTACAGTCCTTGAAGTTGGGTTATCCGTGTTGCCTTTGCTTTATTTATGCTAATCATACATAGTTCACCTATTTTTCAGTACCAAAGCCTGTTGTGGAGGGCTGTTGGGGGCAGGGTCCTACTTCAGGGTGAGACCTCAGTGTCCATTCCTCTCCGGGGTCAGTGGCGGGGGGTGGGGGAACCATGGACCAGAGCTGACTATAGAGTGTGTATAGAGTATAGATTCGTGGAGGCAGTGCCATCTTGGGAAAAGTGGGGCTTTTCTTCCCAAAGCTTCTTGGCAGCCCTTGAAGACGGGTCTTCCGTGATGTACTCACTTTATTTTCTGACAGATCTTACATGGCTGACCTTTTTTTACATATCAAAACTAGCCTTCAGGCACCCTGGGGTGCTGCCAGCTTCAGGGACTCGATTGGCGTCCACACTCTTGACTGGATGGTCTTGAGCACGTGCGGGTCTTCCCATGTGTGTGCCGCCTGCGTCCCCGCCCCGCTCTGGGGTTACCACTTACGCACGACGCCAGTCTCCCTGAAAAGGCGGTAGTCTCGTCGTCGAGTCTCTCCGTGTTTGACAGGAAGTCATCCCTGTGCTGTCTCCTCATGTGTAACAGGTGATGCCCCGCAGCCTGTCCCTCCCTGCATGGCTTCCTGGAAGGGGCGCTAATTTCAAGTAAGGGGCAGTGGGTCCGCATCTGCCGGCGGGGCCCAGCTGAATGGGGCCAGCCCACACAGCGCGCATCCCCCTCTTGGTGTCGCCAGCATCCTCACTCCGTACCCCTTCCGTCCTTAGGCCTGCTGTCTGGGACGTGCCGGAAGCTAGCACCTTAGTCAGGTACTCGAATGGAGGTTGTCCATGGTGTGTTCATTTTATTTATGATGAGTATTACATGGCCAATCTCCTTTCAGTACTAAATTCTTCTTGGGAAAAACTCCACAAGGGCACGTTTCATCTGGTGCCTGTCCACGGTAAGGAAACGGAGTGTGTACCCCATGACAAGTGCTTTATGTGTGACAATGTCACCCGGCCCAGAATTCCCAGGAATGATGCTGACCTTGTAGGGGAGACAGTGGTTTTCTGGTCACTGTTAACCCCTCCTTCCCTGGAGACTCACTAGTGAAGAAAGCTTATTTGGTAAGCCTCTGTCCTGTATGAAGTCATCTTGGACATGGGACACATTCTAGGGGAGGGGACCTTTGCGCTATGCCAACAGCCTGGCTGAGTGGAGGGCACACACTTTACCTATGCATTGTGTTAGGATGCCTTCAAGTGTCCTAGTCCTCAGGGTGCAAAGCCCACCCTGGGGAGGTGGGGCTGGGGGTGGGGATTTCTTGGGTCCTGAGAATCGAGGTATTTGAAGACAGGTTTCCACGGCATGATTTGTTTTTTCCTGGTGCAAGATAAGAATCATTCATAGCATGTATGATTTACCTTATGTTTACGAGCTTTGGGATCTTGGGCAAGTTACTTAGGCGATCACCTCTGTGCCTCAGTTTACCCATCTGTAAAACGGAGACAATGCCTGCTCATAGAGTAGGTATAAAACCTCAATACGTGTGCAGAGTGTTTGGACAGTGCTTGAAATGTAGTGCAGTTGAAAAAGAATTGGCTCTTGGGATGACCATTATTACTATGTTGCTGTTCTATCATAGACCTTCCTTTATCATTCTCTTGCCCACCAGAGTGCGAGCTCCCTGGGGGTTTTGCTTACTGCTGTGTTCCTCAGTGCACATGGTAGATGTGATGTTGGATGAATGGATAGTGGCTGGTTGACACATTTTCTTTATCAAGTGGCTCTCCGAGGCCCTCCTGGAGGAAGAGGGAATGAAGGACAGCAGCAAGCCTCTGCTTTCCCGATGACGCGGCCGGTTCGCCCTCGCCATGCCGGCTCCCCCACTCCAAGAGGAGTCCCCAGTCTTCAGGTCAGGGACCCCACAGGCTTGGAGGCTGGAGGTCCCTGCCATGGCCACAGTACTTCTAGACAATGTTAAATGACCGCTCCTTTCTCTGTGCTAAATCCCCATGCAGGGCCTGCCCAGCGGAGGCGCCAGCTTTGGGATGGGACCTGGGTGTCTGTGCCTCTCGAGGGTAAGTGGCCAGATGCTGCCTAGATATGGGTCTGACTTGTGGTGCGTGTGCTCAGAGCCTCCCCCAGCCCCCCGCTCCCAGCTGAAGCCAGGTCAGGGGATCACCCGGTGCCATTTGAGCTGGTGCATGATGCCCTCCCCTCCGACAAGACATGTTCTGATCAGGTGTGGGAGGCTCCCGGGTGTAGTGCCAGGCTAGTGCCAGGGAGTTGGGGGCGGGGGGTGGAAATGAGCAGCTAGACCCTGAAGGCAGCGCTGCCCTCGGTGAAGAGGCGTCTTGTTGGTGCTCTTGCCCCTGTTGACCTTTGACCCTTGAGCAGAGGTTGCCCTTGGTGAATTCGCTTTATTTATGTTGAATCACACAAAGGCAACTTTTGTTTGAGTATCAAATCCTGCCGGTGATGGCTTCTGGGGCCCAGTGGCAAGCTCAGGGTCTACACCTCTCCCATGAACGAGAACGGATGGTGTGGGTGCGGGTGGACAAGGATGATGTGGATCAGAGAACACAGGTTCCGTTCATAGCATGGGTCACCTGGGGCATTGGAAGGCTGGTGTCAGTGCTCAATCTGCTCCAGAGCTCACCTGGGACCCTCCTCACATCACCAGTCTGACCACTGATCCCAAAGACATTCTGCCTGCCCCGCTTCTCCTCGGGAGGAGTTTTGACCTTGTGGGTTAGTGAAGAGTTTGCCCTCAGCAGCTGGAGAGGCCGCGGCTTCTCGTTCCCTCTGTCTCGCACAAAACCCCTCCTGCGTTCTGTCTGTCTGTCTCTCCGGTTCCTCTCCCTGCGCCGCTCCTCTTCTCCCTCTCTCTCTCTGTCTCGCCATCCCCCTGCCCACCAGCACTCTCCATTTTCTCATGGGTTAGGGGATGAATAGAAGCTGTCAGTACTGAACCCTACTTGTATTAAGTAACAGTGATAAAAGTAATCAACACAAAATAACACTAAACACAACGGAAAAGTCGCCGCGTAAGACATGCTCAGTTGTCTACAAATTGGCAGAAGAATCTAATTTTCTCGACAACGTGTCAGCTGCCGCATCCGACCTGGGGCCACAGAGCCCTGTAGGCGTGGCAGCCACGGGAGGAAACGGACGGCGGCGCACTCCCGACGCAGCCGGGCGGACGCAGACACGGGCACACTGAGGGATCCGATCCCCGTGCAAATTTGTAAATGGAAAAGAATTGATCCTAATGAAGATGATTTGGGCGAAAATAGCAAAGGGAAATAAAAGAAATGAAAACAGCTCAACAGCATAGCCAGGGAGGCTAAACAGGGAATTTGATTAGTTTAATGGAATTCACTGTGAAAAACACGATTTGTATGAAAATCAGTGTCGGCACAGTTCTCATTAAGGTGGTTAAATTCGCACGTGTGGCGTGCGGTCCGTGGGGTCAGCAGGAACACGGGGGCCGGGCACAGTGTCCTTTATGCATCTGACCTTTTCTTTCTGTCCCAAGTCTTCCCAGAGAGCTTCCTGAGCGGGCTTGCTGACGTCAGGGGTGACACGCTGGTGATGGGGTGCATGTTGTCACCAGCGTGTGTGCCTTCTCAGTGCTGGGCCTCTCCTGATCTGCTTCCTCTTGGCATCCCTTCACCCCCTTGCGGAGCTCTGGGCAACACGCTGACTCCCTCCACAAGTGAGGCAGGAGATCCTTGGTCAGTGGGGACAGTTGTCATCAGTGCTGTTGTGCAACCCACAGGAGGTGTTGGCACGTCCCCAGGCCCCAGGCTGGCCCCACAGACCAGCCGAGTGTCGCTTGGTCGCGGAGGCTGGCCTCATTTGGGAGGTGGTCCTGGAATTGGTGTTTCTAGGATCCAGACCGTTGCGCGGGGTGTGAAAAGTTGTCCTTTGCTGGCATGATTCGTTGATGACCAGCACTGTCTGGTGGATCTCTTTCCAGATCAAGCCCTGCCTTGGAGGATTCCCAGAAGCCACAGCACCCTCAGGAGGTGGCCAGCGGCTGGAGCCCTCGCCAGGGTAGGTGCATGGGTGCAGCCCCAGGACATGCCCTGAGTGTGTTGGTGATGTATGTCATCTGGTCCAGTAGCCGCTGCCGCCCAGCCCATTCTCACGAGCCCGTCAGGAGGTGATGTCAGCTCTGGGAAAGCATCTCTGAGCCGCAGGTCAGTATCTATGGACAGGGACGCTTCCATATTGCGTTTTCTTTCTTCAGGACAGACCTCGGGTGGCCGGTTCCTTGCTGCAATGGTAGCAAGACCCAAGGGCTTTCTGAACTCGTGCCAACATCAGGGAAAGGATTCTGCTGTCGGTCCCACTCCAAAGTTCGCAAAATGGGTGGTGGGCACAGAATCCAGACTCTGCTTGTCGCATAGGTCATCTGCTCCCTGGCCCTCTCTGGCCAGTCCATTATTTGGGGGCATATTCTGGATCTGATGTCAACTCTGTGAAGAACCAGGGTTCTGATATCAGAGCTGCTTTGCCTTTTTTTTGAAGAGAGATTATGTTTGGCTCATTTGCTTTTTTCTCCCCCCACTCCTCCTAGCCTTTATTTTTGGTGTTTTGCTTGCTTTGCTTGTGAGGCTAATCAAATGATCAACCAGGTTTTTTTTGTATTAAATCGCCCTTTGGAGGACGCTGCGGGGGGGTGACGCCTATACGGGGCTGGAGGTGGTGTTGGGGGCACCTCGGGGAGCGCAGTGCTGGCCGTTAGCACCATGCACACACGCAGTGCCCCCTGGAGGGAGGCTTTGTGCTGGCGCGGGGCCTGGGGTCACCCTCTCCGGGGTCTGGGAAAGAGGAGCTGAGGGCAGGCAGGGTGGTATCTTCGTCAGCTGTGCGTCAGACCCATCGGCAGATAGCCCCCGTGTAGGACAGTCGGGCAGAAGGGCGCCTCAGATGCCCGTCAGCTCGCCTGGGGAGCCCTCTAGGGTGGTGCGCCCAAGCAAGGGCACCCTCTTGCCAGCCTGAGATCCCCCCACGCCCCACGGCCCTCGTATTCACTTCGGGGAATGGTCTCTGGATCTGGCTCATTCTGGGAGGGGATGGAATGGTTGGCCTCAACGGCTGGCGGGGGCAGGGGAGTCCGGTAGAGGGCGGAGTTCCGGCCCCTGAATGCCCAGCGTTCAGGCTGCCCTTGGGGAGGGTCTTCTGGAAGCACAGCCACCTTGAAGCGTCCGCCTTAGTCCAAGCGTCCAAGCCTCTCCATGGTACTCGGGGAGAGGTTACCCGAGCAACTTTGCATCTGGACGACGAATGTTGCTCGGTGAACCCCTTTTCGGTATCAAATTCCACCAGAGAGGCCGACTCGGAGGCCGTGGCACCTCGGGGAAGAACGTCGGTAGCAGCACCGCTCTGGGGTACAGGACGGATGGTCGACCAGTTGGAAAGTAATTGTTTCGAATGTACTTCACCTGGTCCACTAGCCGTCCGTATCCACTGCAGCCCGCAGGGCCCGCGGGCCCGGGCCCGTCGCTCCTCGGCTCAGCACCTCTCCTGGTACTTGAAGGGAGATCGACCGTGTTATATTCGCTTTATTGACTTCGAATAATACATGGTTGATCTTTTCTCAGTATCAAATCTCACCTTGGAGGATCTCTTGGACATGAAGCCCTGCGGGGGCGGGCATGGGGTTGGGCGGGGAGGGGTCCGTGTCATCGCCCCAGCGGGGCGCCCGGGGTGGAGGCCTGGCCACCTAAGCTGGAGGGGAGGGGCGGGGCAGGGCGGGCATGCACGGCCAGCCGGCAGCCCCTCACCTTTCCTGTCTGATCCACCCTCAGGACGGCTCCCGCGAGGCGGTCACCACGGCGGCGGTGGCGGCCCTCGACGGCCCTCGACGGCGTCTCTATGGGTACTTGAGGAGAGGTTGTCTGTGATGAGTTCGCTTTATTAATGCCGAATATAACACAGATGGCCTGTTTTCAGTACCACCTGCGACTCTGAGGCCGGCCCCCTCCAGGGTACGTGAGTGCATGGGCTCTGCGAATGACCTGTGTCGCCCTCTCCGCCGACCCTCCACATCGAGTCCGCCCCGGGAGAGCTTCCCAGAGGGCCCGTGGGCGCTGGGGGTCTGCACCGGGGAAGGCTGGCCACGAGGCCCCGCTTGCTGCAAGGCAAATGGCTCTGTCCGTCCTCTGTGCCCCAGACCATGGAGGGCCCCCCACTGCGGAGGGCGGCTGCCCCTGTCCCCGGGGGCCCCCCTCCCCCACCGAGGGCTGAGCCCCTGCATGGCCTGCACCTGGGAGGCTTGTCCCAGCCACTTTGCCACTCACCGCCCTGCCTTGGGGACCCGCGCCGGCCGCCGCCCCATTGGGGGAGAGCCCGAGCTTCTGCTTGCTGCACCTGCTGCCCTGTGGGGTGCCTGAGGAGAGGTTGCCCGTGGTGCGTTCGCGTTCATCCTGACGCACAATACGCGGTCGACCCCTCTTCAGCATCAGATCCCACCTTGCATGCCTCCTGCTCGCGCTGCCGTCCAGGGAGGGGGCCGGGCCGGGGCCGGGGAGGGGGCCGGCGGGGGCCCCGAGCATGCGCTGACCTCCAGCCCGTGGCCCCGGGGCGCGTGGTGGGCCGTCTGTGAGGAAGAAGCCTCCCGTCTGGAGTCAGCCCTGCTCAGTGGTACCTGAAATAGGTTGCCTGTGAGGTGTTCACTTTCTATACGATGAATATTATACAGTCAACCTCTTTCCGGTATCGAATCCCGCCTTGGACGACGTCCCGTCCGGGTGCCGGCTCCAGGTGGCAGAAGCCTCGGCGCTGGCCGACCTGTGGACTTGGTGTAGGGACCCGTGCCCCCCGGCCTGGTCATGTTCCAGCTCCTCTCGTTCTAGACGGCTTCTGAGGGCCACACGGAGCGGGCCTGTGGCTCCCGAGGCCCCCAAACTGGTGGCTCCTGACGTCCCCACTCGGGGCCGTTACCCCAGGGCTGGGCTAGGCCTCCACCTGCTGATTCTCCTTTCCCGAGGGCGCCCAGCCCTGCCCAGACCACCGCAGGGCCCCAGGGGTGGGGAGTGGGGGGTGGGGGACGGGTCTGGGCTACTGCAAAGGGGAGCTCCTAGAGCGCCTCCAGGGGGTGACCCGAGGGTGTTTGGTATTAGTGAATTGTCTTCTGGGCGGCCGGAGGCTTTTTCTGCGCTGGCTCCCATCCCCGGACTGGGGAGGGGGTGGCTAGACAATGGCCTCTCCCTGGAAGGCCCCTCTCTGCACGCCCTTCCCCTGGTGGCGTCGGTGCAGGCCTGCGGGCTCCCTGTGCCCAGTGCCAGGTTCCCAGCAGTGTCCACGCCGGTGGAGCCCCATGACTCTAGGGCCTCCCCTGCTCGGTCTGCCGGGCCCCAGGTGGGGCGGCTGTGTGCACCTGGCCCTCCTTTCTGGCCCTGCCTTAGGGGCCGCCCTCTCTGGCTCACACCCCTGCACGGGCCCCACCGGGGTCTCCACCTCCTGCTTTTGCCAGGAGAACCTTCCAGCAAGCAATCTGGCTCTCTCTGCACCGCCCAAAGCCCCTCCAAGGCACCCCTTTCCTCGCGCCCCCCTGCAAGACCCCAGGCGGCCCACCACATCCCCTGCCACGCCCTTCTTTTGGCGTTTACCCTATACCTACCCCCACTCTAGGTCCACCCACCCGTCTGTTGGGAGCTGGGTCCTGTGCAGCTGCCACTGCAGACTGCCCCATCCTCCCCCTCTCTAGGGCCTAGATGGGGATGTCCCCATCTCAGGGCACCCAGCACAGTCTCTTGTTCCAAAGGGATTGCCCCTTTCTAGAGCAGGGGTTCAGGATTCTGGAGGGGATGGAATGTCCTTGTTCGGCGAGGCTGTCCCTGACCCCCCCAGCCTAGCCGCCCCTCATCCTAGTCGCCCTCTGTCAGTACCCTGTTCCAGCTTTCCTCCTGGTCCACTGCTGTCTGAAATTACCTGCTGTTAATGTCTGCTTTCTCCCCCTCCTCCCCCAGACTAAGGTTTCTCAGGGCAGGGATTTTTTTCTGTCCTGTTCCCTGCTCTGTCCCCAGTCCTGGGACCCAGGCCAGGCCCATAATAGAGGAATGGCGAGTGTTTGTTGATTGACTAACAGATTCCCTAAGGGCAGGGGCCTTTATCAAGTTAATCCCCAGAAAAGTATGGGGGCACAAAGGAGGCAGGGAGGAAGACAGGAAGACAAGACGGAAGACAAGACCAAAGACGTAGTGACGGAGCACATGAATATGGTGATCGGGTTTTAGAAATTCTTTACATTTGTGAAACGTTTGGTTTTCTGGCTTTTTCTGCCCCTTCCAGATGTCATTTGGGAGGGTTGAGGTTTGCTGCAACAGGGTCGGGTCAGCTGGGTCTGGGCTCTCCTCGCCACTTTCTAAGGGGCTCCCAGGACCCCCAAAAGGAGAGATGAGCCCCAAGATAATCCTGCAACCACCAACTGAGCGCCCGCCTCCCCCCTGTGGCACACTGCAGTTCTCAGAGCCAGGTGCTCTGGGGAGCTCCGTCTGCAACAGGCTGGCGTGTGGTGTCAGGGCTAATATTTTATGCATGGAACTGACTAAATGGGGACATTTGGAGATGAAAATTGCTGTTAATGCATCCACACATCTTTGGAATATATTAAATGTTTGTAGGGGGCGGGAGGCGACATTAGCCTTATTTAATAGCTCCAATGTAACCATCTCCACACCCCAGCTTGAATAGCCCGGGTGCCCCACAGGCTGCCACTCGGGGGAAGCGTTGGGTGGATCAGCCACCGCTTGAGAATTATGCATGAGACAAAATGTCAGCCCGGGGTACCAGGCATTCAGCGGCATATGTTCCAAACTCATTGTAGACCCAAAGACAGTGACCCCATGCTGCTAGGGGCAGAATTTCATTAAAAGCCAAATTACTGGTTTATCTATTGTTTGAGCAGAAGAGAGAATAAACAAAGGGCCAAATGAAAATGTCTGTCCCCACAGCGGCTGGGATGACAGTCGCTGTGGACCCTCAAACCAGAGGGTCAGTGACTTGGGCTCATCTCCAAGGTGTTGTGTTAATCCAGTCATGGGTCTGAGCCCATGGGGTGCGGACTGTCTCCTGGGGCCCGCGTGGGCAAGGACCCTGGCTCCCCCCATCACGTCTCCTGGACACAATTCAATGAGCCACTTTGAAAACTGAGGCGCTTTAGTGCGTCTGGACCTATAGTCTCCTCGCCTTACCATTTTAAGGGGGGTTAAGCAGGGAAATACTAGCCGCCCTGAATAAGCTTCAGCCCCCACCTGTCCATCAGCTCTAGGGTGTTTGCTCGTTGCACCCCCCCCCCCCAGCCTGTGTGGGAAGCAGCCTCTGTTTTTACAGTAAGGATGTGAGGCACAGAGAGGTGGAGAGACTCCTTCGAGACCACCCAGCAGGCACTCTGCCTGCTGAGAGCCACAGAGCTCTAGAACAGTCCCCCGCCCAAATTCTCTCTGCATGACAAGGTAGGCCTCCTCTTCCGAACACTCAGCTTGCCATACTTTCAATGGGATTTTCCCTGCACCCACCTGGCATCTCTCCAATTGGGTGCCCACCCCACGACATGGGATGCTTGCAGCTGGGTACGGTCCCCATGGACCCTGGCTCCTGTCTGGCCCAGGGAGAGGACTGCTTGCTCTGTCAGGAGCCCCAGGGCCCAGGGGAGAGCTAAGGACCAAGGACCCACTTTGACTTGTGCCTTTCGCTACCACCCTGGAGGGCATTTGAGGGTTGTGTGCAAGTCTAGTCAGGACAGCTGGTGAGCAAGAGTGGGGAGCTCAGGCCAAGCTTTCTGGTCTCGACGGGGCAGGCCAGGCACCAGCCCTGCTCCCCCAGCCTCCGCCTTGCCCTGCTCGGCCCCCGCCCTTGTGTGCATCCCACCCTGCACAACTCAGGGACTGGTCCGGTCCTGGAAGCACCATCACATGTCAGGGCTGAATGGGCTCCCCGAGTGCATTCCCTCTTGTCCCCTCGCCCCACCCCTTCTGCTCACATCCGCACACAGGTAAGGAACCTGAGGTCCAAGAGCCTGGCATGCTTTGCCACGGCTTTTCTTTTGAGTGTTGTCTCAAAGTTCAGGGTCAGGACCCATCTCTGGCAAATAAGTAATTTCCTTCTTTGCAAAACTGGGGTGACCCTAGCACCCCAAGCCTGCAGGAACCCCAAGCAGGATTCAATACCTCAATGCCCATGGGGGGAGTGAGGCTGCTACCCTGCCACAGAGCTTCTAGAAGCCAGGCCCTTGACCCTGCAGTGTCGGCCTTGCTCAGCTAATGCCTGGATCGAGGCTGGCCGCAGACACTGGTGCAGAGAAGGTGGGCAACACGCGAGCGTGTCCTGAAGTCAGATCTCTTCACTGCCGGGAAGAAGCACACAGGAGGGGCTGGGAGGACGTCTGTGGAATGAATGAATAAAAGGGTGCTCTTTGAGGGAATAAAGAAGCAGAGAGAAAAAGAAGAATCTGGGGAAGATGGACGTAAATCTCCACCAAGCGCCGCCAAGGTTTTGCAGCCAAGGCGGCTGACGAGACCCCGCGGAGGCAGAGGGGCCGGTTGTCACGGCGGGGGGGGGGGGGGGTGCAGGGGTGGGATGGAGGAAGCAGGAAGCAGGGGTGGGATGGAGGCTCGTTCATCATTTTCCCATCATCCCTGTGATGGGAGCCCGCGCCTGCACAGCTGCACTTGCCCGCCCGGCGGCCGAGTGTGGGGTTGGGCGTGGGGAGGGACCCCAAGGAAAGGCATGCCCGGCAGGTGAGCCAGCGGCTGCGGGGCAGGTCCCAAATCCCCGGCGTGGCAGCAGAGAGGACAGGAGTCACTCCAGGCCACCTGACCAGTCACAGGGCAGGACTTTGGGGCCATTATGGCTGCTGGACCCAAATGGTGCATGATGGGACATCTCAAAGCCCACCTCGTGTCCTTGGTGTGTGATGGTTGCTTTTATACCTTGAAGTCCCAGTGCCATTCCTGTGCTCATGCTGTGCCCCTACCTGGAATGCCTGTCCTTCCTTATCGTTAAAGGCCCAGTTTCACTGCCACCTCCTACAGGAAGCCTTCCCTCATGTACCCCTACCCCCAACACACATACACAGAGCCTCAACCTGCAGTCAGATATCAGTCCCCTGATTCTTCGGTCTACAGGTCGCCAGCTCTGCCGGGACAGGGGCTGTTTTGGTTTGGTCATTGTGGGGCCCATGTACCCCACAGGACCTAGCCCAGGGAAGCTGTCCTGGGATGCTTGTTGACTTTGTCTTCCCTTGGCAGACACACGGGACGGGGCATTCGGCAGGTGCCCAGTACATGGAGCCTTTGGTTGATTGCAGCCATGAGCCAAGGGCTGGGCCAGAGGTAATCCCACCAGACCACTTCTGCCTGGAGAGATGTGGACTGTGAGCCGGGGAGCCCGGTCTGACCCTAGAGGCATTCCTTGGGTCAGGTGAGTGCACACTGCAAGGACCACAAGGTGCCTCCCATTCGGGCAGGGAGCAAAGGTGGGATTTGCCCAGGGCATGCGGGGTCTAGGGGAGACCCAAGCTCATTATCAGGGTGGGTCTCAGGACAGAGATCATGCCCCCTTACTCAGTGTAGCTCCCCCAGGCCCTAAACAGTGCTCACTGAGTGAATGAATGAAACAGGGCCTCCTGACTCCTGCCCAGAGCTCCCTGCACACCCCAGACAGCCTTGCTCCAAGGAGAGGCCAGCCTCGCTCTGCCCGGCTGTGGAGAAGTGAGCAAACCCCACATGGGCTGCCGTGGGAGGGAGGCTTGAGCCGGCGAGGCCCCGGACAGGGGGGACAGCGGGGCCCTGCCTCCAGGGTCCCTGGGAGTGAAGGCCCTGGTCTTCCTTGGGGCGAGCCGCTCTGCACAGAGCCTGGGTGCACAGAGCCTGGGGTGTGGGAAACCTTCCAGAATGCTGCTTCCCACCATCTGTGATATCTTCGTTTTCTCTAACACTCAAAAATAGATGTTTCTGTTATGCTTCTCGTTGGCAGGGGAGCTGCGGGGCCTGCCAAGGCCTGGGGGAGCCCGCCAGCCTGCTGAGTTTTACTGTACAAACAGTTGGGGAGGGGGGTGTCTCTGTTAACTTGAAATCCCCGATCAGTAAACATGCCAATTTAAAGTGTAATTAACTCAGGCCGGAAAAAATTCAGATCTGGACTGCTTTTCACAGTTGAGGCTGTTTTTCTTTTATTTATTTATCTCTTTCCGGGTGTGGTGGTGTCTGTGGCAGGTTTAAGCCAGGAAAAATAGAAGGGGGGCTTGAGTGGGGAGGGGGCTGGTTGGGAGAGGAAGTGATGGGAGGAAAAGAAGGAGCAGAGGGCAGCTAGTCCGGCAACCCTGACGGCCCCGGGGGTCTGCATTCCCTTCCTGTCCAGGATGCTGGGTGCCAGGTGAGGAAACAGAGGCACAGGGAAGTAGGGGGCATCTGTTTCACTCAGATGCCCGTTCAAGCTGGGCCTGGAGATTCAGAGTCAAGGACACCGCCAGGGGGACCCCGGAAGCGCTCAGCTTGTTTGTGGCCTGGGCTCTGGGTCCTGCTCCTGACTCTCTGTCTCCCCTACCCTTTCAGGGGTCTCTGCTGTCGGTGAACCCACCTGGAGCGTCAGCGTCTTCCTCCCCAGGCTCATCTGCCTCACAGGACTCCCAGAAGGTCCTGCTCTTGGAGAAGGCTGATGGCACCCATGCCCTGGGGGACAGACGGACAGACGCACAGTCCTGCTGGACCAGCGCCCTCTCCTGCCACCCCCAGGAAGAAGGGGAGGCTGTGCACTCCCCACCCTTTAAAGGACCCTGAGTGGGTACGGGGGGGGGGGGGCGGGGGGCAGATCCATCAGGGGACAGGCCTGCAGTGTGGACTGGGGAGGACCATGTGGGCCTGCAGAGGACTCTGAGTGGCAATGAACTCAAACCAAAGAGCCAAAGACCCCAGCCCCATCCCCGCGGAGGGGCTCAGGAATTCCTGCTCTTCCTTTGCAAACACTTGGCATGTCGTTGGGCTATTTGAATAATAAATACACATTATAAAAATCTAAATACGTTTGTGTACCTCTATATGTTCAGAGATGATGTTCATTAAGGGGAAGGTTTAAAAACAAAGGCCATCTGCCTGGGGCGGGGGTGGGGGTGGGGGCTCTGCTCTAGAGTCACCAGCCTTTGCCCAGCGGGGACCCTGCAGGGAGCGTCTCCGGGAAAGGAAGCGGGAAGGGAAGCGGAGGGGTCCTCCGCGGCGGGGGCCACTCCCCGCCGCCCCCACTTGTGGGCCCCGCGCTTCCAGGTGGGAACCAGGGCCCGGAAGACACGCTTTGCCGTCTGGGTCTGAGCCGGCCCCCCACCCCCGCGGCCCCCCGCCCCCCAGGGGCAGAGGCCGAGCCCCCGCCTCCGCTCTGCAGCCTCCGCCGGTCACGACTCAGCCGGGCTGACTCAGAAGCGGCCCGAGCCTCGTCAATTACATAATTACCTGCCGAACCTGCCGCCGCCGCTCCGCCGGGAGGGCCGCGCGGGGCCGCGGTGACTCACTCTTCGCCCCAGAGCCTCTCGCCCGCGCGCCGCGGCCGCCTCGGGCTGGGGCTCGGCGGGCTGGGCGGGGGAAGGGCCTCGGTCCCCAGCTCTGCAGCCAGGGGGGCGCCGCCACCGTGCGGGGGCCCCGGGGCTCGGGGGGGGCGCCTTCCCCTCCGCGCCCCCCCGCCCTCTGCCGCCCCCCCACCTCCCCCACCCCCCAGCAGCCTTCCGCAGGGACCGGCCCCACCGGACGGAGGAGGACCGGGGCGCGGAGAGGCCTCGCTCCTTGGCCCGGTCCACCCACAGCCGGAAGTGCCTCCGGCTCTTGCCGGTGACCCCCCGCCCCCCCCAGGGGAGCCCGCCGTGAGCGCAGCTGCCGGGTCGCCCCTCGCCCCTCCCCGGCTGCCCCCCCGGCACCCGCCACCCCTTCTCCAGAGCCCCTGGGGCGGGGGCAAACTCGCCCGTTGGAAAAACACTTCTGACAGTGACTGTTTGGGAAGGGGGCGTGAGGTTGCCTTTCCGACCCCAGGTTCAGTGTACACACCTGGTGGGGGGCCCTGTAGGGGGCGTTGTTTGTTTAATTAAAAAAAAACCCAGTGGGGCGCCTGGCAGGTTCAGTTGGAAAAGCACCGGATTCTTGATCTCGGGGTCCTGAGTTCGAGCCCCAGGTTGGGTGCAGAATTTACTAAAAAAAAAAAAGATAAAAAGAAAAACCTAATAGAATAGGTCTGGCGGGTGTGGGTTCCCATGAGGACCCAGGTTTGAATCCAGCCTTGTCACTTCCTGGCATTGAGCCTCCGCTTCCTCATCTATAAAATGGGCACACTATTACCAACCTCGTGAGCCCGATGAGAGGTGGGTTTTAAGTATATATAAAGTGCCTCGTGCAGTGCTTGACTGGGTTAGGTTCTCCTTAAACTGGGGGCTTCCTCCTGGTGACCCATGGCTGGTTGGCGTCCCCGTGGATCCTGAAGTCATCACAAAGCTGCTGCCCAAAGCACCCTGGCCTGGGGGCTACCCCGAATGGTCCAGACCACCCCTCAGTGTTAGCCCCAGCATCCAGGGGCTGTAGCCTCCCCATCCACCCCCTCGCTCTCAAAGGCACCCCCAAACAGAACCATGAGGGACAGAGCCCCTTATGCTCAGGGCTGCATCCAGGTCCCCAGCAAAGCTCTACACCAGGTCACAGAGGGTGCCAAGTGTCCCCAGACCTGGGGCAGGCATTCCCAGAATCCCCTGCCCCCCATGACCCTCTCCCACTCCAAGTCTAGGGAGAAAGCTGCCCATGTGAGTAGCTCTGTCGGCGGCGGGGGTAGTGGCCTGCCGAAGTCACCTTTTGGGGAGGTTGTAGAGTGTGGCCGGGGAGTTCCCAAGGTCCACAGCCCAGCCCTGCCCCACAGGTCATGTCAGCTCACCCCACTCATTCTCACTTCTACATTTCCTATAGGGATCCCAAACAGACATGCTGAGGGGCTGGCTTCCCGGGAAGAGTCTCAGGGCCTGGTACTTTCCCTACTATGGCCCCAGCCCACCCCTCCCTCCTTCACACAGTCCCCCTGGAGGGGGCGCACTGTTCTAACCATCGTGCAACACTACCACCCTCTCTGTGCACGGCCGTGCGCCCGGCAGAGCTGGCTGCTGCATTCAAACCAGTGGGAGAGAGTCCTGGTGACCCTCTGGTTACGGATCTGTCAGGATCCTGGCTCCGAGCTCACCCCGGGGAGTCACTTGCCTCCATTGGGGTTCAGTCTTCTCATCTGTAAAATGGGTGTGATTGAATCAGATTATGTGACACTAAAGTCCCAAGAGTCCCTTCCTGGGCCACCGCCCCACGTGACCCAGCCCTCCGGGTTCCTGGGCCACCAACTATCCAAACACCCCGCTACATTCTTAGTCCCCCTCCATTATCCAGGGAAGCCCCCCACCCCTGCAGTTCTCCCTGCATTCCCACAGTCCCGGGAGGTGGGACAGGATGGGGCTCGTACCCCCTCTCTCCCTGGGACTCCTCACCCCTTCTTCCGCTTTTCACCCCTTGCCCTTCTCTTCCCAATGCATCATCCAGCCGGAACTGGCCATGGAAGTTTCCAGGAGTTGCCTGGGGGAATTATGGCTCCCCAGAGGAAACAACTGGAGTTTGAGAATCAGACCCCATTGCTCGTGAAGCTTCAGTGTGTCACCTAGGTCCAGCCCTGTGTCCCGGGGGCTGGGCCTCCCCTCCTCCCCTGCTGCAGATGGCCTTTGCCATCCCTTGCTGCAGCCCTACACGCGCTGTCCCTTCAGCGGATCCCTGTCCCATCTGGGAAGCTGGGGCCTCAGAGGGGCTCTACTGGTCCCCTGGGATGCAGACCTTTGAGAAATAGCCATTTCCTCCCGCCCCACCCCTGCAAAGGCATGCAGCAGGGTTCTGGGGGTGCAGGCACTGTACCCTGACAGCCCGAGTACAATGGTGAGAGCACTACTCCAGCTCTGTGTGCCTCAGGCTTCCCATCCATCAAATGGGGCTGCAGTGAGGATCGGATGAGTGAATCTGTGCAAGGAGGTGAATGTTAGCCATGAGATGATTCACGGCTCTCGGGGACCTGAGACCCTGTGACATAACTAAGGTGTCCCCCTTTACTTTTGTGGTTAAGACGGTGATATACCCCACTATTTATCTGCTCTCTTGCCTTGGTCATTGACCCGTTTTGGTCCTTGGAGCAGAGGTGAACTTCTGAGCAGCTCCCAGCCCTGACTTTGTTGTCTTGGGGACTCTCCTGCCCGGGTCCTGGAGGTGGGGAGGAGTGGGCTGATGCCTGCGTGGGAGGGCCCAGAGGTAGAAGTTCAAGTCGGGGTCGCTGAGTTAGGTGTTCATAGTTGGGGAGCAAGAGGGAACTCAGCAGGGAGCCTGGCCCTGGAGAGGAGCTGGAGAATTAATGACAGAAGGGAGGGCACTGGGTTTGGGGACTCTCAGATATATCATATGCAAACGAGCTCGGGGTCAGAGGGCAGGACAGATAGGCAGGCAATGCTGGCTAGTGGCCAGTGCTGTGATTCAGGCTGGCTCCGGGTACAGCGGGGGCCCCAGAGCTGGGAGAGTCCTGGCAGGGCAGCCCTCCCTGAGTTTGAGCCCCAAACCTCAGCGAGCGGGGCCGTGTCACAAGGCGTCTCTCACCCAGGAGCTCCTCTCTGTCTCCCCCCTTGAGCCCCAATCCACAGCTCTACCCAGCCAGCCCCACACCCCCACATCGACTTTCAGAAGATTGAGGAATATGTATGTAAATGATTGTATACACCACACACCTACTCTGCTCTGTGCACACATACACACACAGATGTGCACGTGAGGCTCGGGCCGTTCTATGTGTCTGAGCCAAGGTCAGGGACCCCAAGTGGGGTGCGAAGGGGTCTAGGAAGTTGGGCAGCAGAGATGTTTGCTGGCAGAGACAGTAAGGAGCTGTGGATCCTGGTTGATGGGTGACTGCTGTGTCACAAGCTGGGCTAGAAGAAAGGCTTGGGGTCAGAGTGGACCCAGCTCTCTCCGAAGTGTGGTTTCTCACTGGTTCTTTCTGAGACTAAAGCAACCCACACTCTGTGTAGGTGCTCCTGGGTCACAGTGTGATGCCCCCAAGCCACAGGACTCTCTCATCTTCCCCTGGTCACTAATGAAGGTGACCCCACTCTGGCCTCTTGGTGATGAGGCCTCTTTTCTCCAGGGTGGGCGGTTCTTCCCCTCACTTCCAGTTCCCCTAATGGCCATGCTCATTTGTTTCCCGGGGCTCAGGGGGCACTGTGCCCGTTCTGAGGACTGTTCGGCCGGCCACACCTCCCCTTTGGTGGGCGCCCGGGGAGGCCGGACATCTGACGGAGCAAGGCCGGGGTCACACAGTGCCCGAGAATAAAACTGAGTTTCTCTCACAGAAAGAAAAGTTTGTTTTGCACAAGACAATTACATTTCCAGCCCTCAGTCAGGGGAATCGAGGGGCTGACGGCTTGAGGCTGCTCATACTTCACTCTCCACCTTAAGCTTAAGCAGCGGATGGGTCCGGGGACCGAGGGGTCACTGACGCTGCAGGAGCCCCAGACTGGGCTCCCCTGAGCAACCAGCCTAGCTCTGCCACCGGCTTGCTGTGTGACCTTGGGGAAGGGACTCAAGCCCTCTGAGCCTTGTTTCCTTACTGTCTGACCTGGGGTCTTGAGAGAGAGATCTGAGCCTGCGCCCAGCACAGCATGGAGTGCCTGGTGAGCGCCCTGTCCCTCGGAGGTCCCTGCCGATGTCCCTGCCTCTCCTGCCCCAGCCCCACACCCGGCTGGGACCCTCAGGGGAAGCTGAGCTCGGGCTACAGCCGCTGTGCCCCAGGGAAGCCATGAACGGAGCCCCCGGAGGGGTGGGGCGCAGGGCTCGCGTGAGTCCCTGGGCAGCGGGGGCCGAGGGCCCCTTCCCCGCAGAGGCCCGGCTGGGTCGGGCGGGGCTGATGCTCGGCTCCTGTCTGCTGCCATCTTCCATTTGGTATCTCCCTCCGCACTGACATTTTCCTGAGGCCATTCCAGGAGGAAGGGGGCTGGCGGCC